ATTACTCACCCTTTCCAACCTCAGTCTGTTTCGACACCATGGCCATTTGCCATTATGCCACAAATTAAAAGACCAGGAAATTTCAGCTGCCCCAGAAAAGCTAGAGTAATGACTGTGATCCAGAAGGCGTAATTAACCCAACAAAGGGTGGTGTCATGATTTTGCATCCACCCTCCCCTTTGAGCCAAGTATGGAGTTAAGAGTCTAGTGCTGCACTTTTTCCCATGTGATTTTTTTTTTTTTTTTTTTTGGGGGGGGGGGGGTCTTTATTTAGAAAGCTTATGCAATTTATCTTAGCCAATATTTCACAGAAATAAACATAGGTCAAAGAGGTGACCCCTTCTGACTCGCTTTTAATAGACAGCCATCTACTGATGTGTACAAGACTGTAGTTGTCGGGAAATTTAAGGTATTTCGGATCTGATTTTCTGGCACAAATACTGTTATTTAAGTTCACTCTTTTAGGCAAGTCGGTGGGTAACTTCACTGTCGTCTAAGCAGTATGACACAAAGTTTTAGTTTTTTGACCACCTTTAGTTTTTAAATAATTAAAAAAAAGCATATTCTTTTCTTTCAACATATAGTAATCCTGAGGACGTTGTTCTTTGGGTTTCATGTCTGTCCCTTTCTATAATTATTAGGTAACACAGCTAAGGCCAATCACTTTTTTAAAGTGCCACATTTTGCCATCTGGCTGTACCATGTGACTTTAGAATACATTTTACGTCTCATTGGTTTGTGCAAAAATAGGTTTCGTGAATTTCTGTATCCGTTGAATCGCGTACACTTCCACAATAAAGCTGCTATCGTCAGAAAGGCTGCAGCTAAAAACCAACTGTTCTTTGAAAAATGAATCTTTCCTTGGGGGAGCTGATTTTTTTTGTACTCAGCTGTATACCCCAGAGCCTCCAGAAATAGACCACAGTGCGTCTGCCTGATGATGATGATGATGATGATGCGTCCTCTCTCCCTGCCACTGCAAGTAAAATAAGTTATGACATGTGTGAACTACAGGCCCAAAGACAAGGTCACTCTCTGCCTCACCATGGTGCTGACGCACTGAGGTTGGACGATGATGCAGACCTGACGGTGTCGATACACGCCAGCAACAGGCGAGAACACGAGCATGTTCCTACACGCATTCAGGAGCAGGCTGTGGAGAACAAGGAGCAATGCTCTAATAACCAGACAAATGTTCACATTCGTGAGGCATATTTATAGCTTTTTTTATCTTTTTTTCCTCTGCCTCCCGCCTCGTCTGCTTCACAGCTGGATCCTCTCCTATCTTTTTATTATTCCTCTCTCTCTCCGTTTCTCTGCCTCATCTAATTTTTCCCTTTCCACTCGGCTCTCTGCCCAGACGGTGACACTCCGCGCCCTCCACCCCCGACCCAATGTCTTGGAATGAAATATACAGGTCTAAAAATATTCATCCACTTTATCCAAACAACAGCATACAAAAAAATTGCTGTTCTTGGACCAGAACTGGTGGGGCCTTTTCTGTTCCCTGTGGACTTGAGTCCTCTGTTCCTGAGAACAGAGAAAGTCTGATCTCACTGTCCCATCTGTAATCTGTCCTGGCAGAGTATCTCTCAGGCCCAGAAGCTCCAATAAAAATATTTAGGAGTGATTTTTTTGTGTTTCACCTTTCCCTCAACATGCATGTTCTTCTGAGCAGCGGCTGCTGTGGTGCAGGGCGAGTTCACAGGCAGCCCTGGCACAGCGCCGTCCAGAGTATTTAGATTATACATGATGCAGCATTTACCGTAGCTCTCGCCGGACATGCCTCATTTACTCACGCAGGCGCTGATGTAACTCTTCCCGCTGCAATTTATTTTGAGGGTGATTGCTTACACAGTGCATGAAGAAAGCAGGTAGACCACTGGGGTTTGAAGCAACTGCTTTCCGTGACAGCTGTTTAGTCTTTGAATCACCTCCTTCACATGTTGTTTGGCATTTCATTGGGTCTGCAATTGTAAAGTCTTTCACTTTAGTTTACGAAAACGTTTTGACCCAGAAACGTCCCAACCACTGGTAAAATGGAATCTCTCTAACTCTTCAGGTCACTGTAACTCAGTGTTTTTCAACCTTGGGGTCACGACCTCACATGGAGTCGCCTGTAATTCAGCCTGAACTGTCAAGTAACCTATTTTAGAAAATTACTGATAAAAATTGGATTTTTGTGATTTTATGTAAAAAAAAAAAAGTATGCTCTTTTATTTTTTTGAATTCAGACTTACATTGTACCTCAACCTTATTTCTTACTTGCAGATATTTCCTGACCCATCTGACTTCGACCGCTGCTGTAAGCTGAAGGACCGTCTGCCGTCCATCGTGGTGGAGCCGACGGATGGAGAGGTGGAGAGTGGTGAGCTGCGCTGGCCTCCGGAAGAGTTTCTCGTCAGTGAAGAGGAGGAAGAAGAGGAGGACGAAGAACAGAACATGAATGGTGGCATCCAGAATGGACATCCGACACAGAATTCTCAACACTAGAAGCTACATCGTAGCGGCCGTGCTCTGCTCTCGCTCTGTTCCTCTCCGTTAGACTCTCCGTTTCACACACTGGCTACACGACACCTCGACTCTTGGCAGATGCACCAACACCAAAGCATCACCTCGACAAAGAGAAGCAATACACACATGAAAACACAGAATAATTTATCCTCTTGGAACAGCCACCAATTGCGGCTCTGCCCCGATTGGACACCCTGTTTGACAGTAGCGGCTCAGAGCTCCATGGACAGGTCTTAGACTGTGGGGGAGGGGGCTCCTGCAGCGTCATCTTACTCCAAAATGGCTGGCATTATGACCCCAGAGACTTTTTACCTGCATACAGAACTATTGTGGTACTGTGGGGATTGTTTGTTTTTAATTTTGTCTACAGCACATTTGTGTTTTCAGTTTCTGGATTGAGGTATGTTAATATTTGCGATCGCCAAGGCTTTCCATAGATTTGTCTTTGTTGGAGAAATACACGTGTATGGATTTTTTTTTTCCTTTATTGTTGGTAGTTGGTGCAAAAATATCACTGGGTTTATTTTTTCTCTGTCACGGGATCGGTTTAAATTATATATGTGGCTTAACAGTTACATTTAATAATAAGGGAACATGGGACAATTTTGGAGAAGTGAGGAAAGTGAAAAAAGGGGAACTAAAGTTATGGTAAATGGTCTCCTGTGACCAGAATGGAGCATGAATAGGGCAAATGTGATGTACTCAGCTGTATACCCCAGAGCCTCCAGAAATAGACCACAGTGCGTCTGCCTGATGATGATGATGATGATGATGCGTCCTCTCTCCCTGCCACTGCAAGTAAAATAAGTTATGACATGTGTGAACTACAGGCCCAAAGACAAGGTCACTCTCTGCCTCACCATGGTGCTGACGCACTGAGGTTGGACGATGATGCAGACCTGACGGTGTCGATACACGCCAGCAACAGGCGAGAACACGAGCATGTTCCTACACGCATTCAGGAGCAGGCTGTGGAGAACAAGGAGCAATGCTCTAATAACCAGACAAATGTTCACATTCGTGAGGCATATTTATAGCTTTTTTTATCTTTTTTTCCTCCTCCTCCCGCCTCGTCTGCTTCACAGCTGGATCCTCTCCTATCTTTTTATTATTCCTCTCTCTCTCTCCGTCTCTCTGCCTCATCTAATTTTTCCCTTTCCACTCGGCTCTCTGCCCAGACGGTGACACTCCGCGCCCTCCACCCCCGACCCAATGTCTTGGAATGAAATATACAGGTCTAAAAATATTCATCCACTTTATCCAAACAACAGCATACAAAAAAATTGCTGTTCTTGGACCAGAACTGGTGGGGCCTTTTCTGTTCCCTGTGGACTTGAGTCCTCTGTTCCTGAGAACAGAGAAAGTCTGATCTCACTGTCCCATCTGTAATCTGTCCTGGCAGAGTATCTCTCAGGCCCAGAAGCTCCAATAAAAATATTTAGGAGTGATTTTTTTGTGTTTCACCTTTCCCTCAACATGCATGTTCTTCTGAGCAGCGGCTGCTGTGGTGCAGGGCGAGTTCACAGGCAGCCCTGGCACAGCGCCGTCCAGAGTATTTAGATTATACATGATGCAGCATTTACCGTAGCTCTCGCCGGACATGCCTCATTTACTCACGCAGGCGCTGATGTAACTCTTCCCGCTGCAATTTATTTTGAGGGTGATTGCTTACACAGTGCATGAAGAAAGCAGGTAGACCACTGGGGTTTGAAGCAACTGCTTTCCGTGACAGCTGTTTAGTCTTTGAATCACCTCCTTCACATGTTGTTTGGCATTTCATTGGGTCTGCAATTGTAAAGTCTTTCACTTTAGTTTACGAAAACGTTTTGACCCAGAAACGTCCCAACCACTGGTAAAATGGAATCTCTCTAACTCTTCAGGTCACTGTAACTCAGTGTTTTTCAACCTTGGGGTCACGACCTCACATGGAGTCGCCTGTAATTCAGCCTGAACTGTCAAGTAACCTATTTTAGAAAATTACTGATAAAAATTGGATTTTTGTGATTTTATGTAAAAAAAAAAAAGTATGCTCTTTTATTTTTTTGAATTCAGACTTACATTGTACCTCAACCTTATTTCTTACTTGCAGATATTTCCTGACCCATCTGACTTCGACCGCTGCTGTAAGCTGAAGGACCGTCTGCCGTCCATCGTGGTGGAGCCGACGGATGGAGAGGTGGAGAGTGGTGAGCTGCGCTGGCCTCCGGAAGAGTTTCTCGTCAGTGAAGAGGAGGAAGAAGAGGAGGACGAAGAACAGAACATGAATGGTGGCATCCAGAATGGACATCCGACACAGAATTCTCAACACTAGAAGCTACATCGTAGCGGCCGTGCTCTGCTCTCGCTCTGTTCCTCTCCGTTAGACTCTCCGTTTCACACACTGGCTACACGACACCTCGACTCTTGGCAGATGCACCAACACCAAAGCATCACCTCGACAAAGAGAAGCAATACACACATGAAAACACAGAATAATTTATCCTCTTGGAACAGCCACCAATTGCGGCTCTGCCCCGATTGGACACCCTGTTTGACAGTAGCGGCTCAGAGCTCCATGGACAGGTCTTAGACTGTGGGGGAGGGGGCTCCTGCAGCGTCATCTTACTCCAAAATGGCTGGCATTATGACCCCAGAGACTTTTTACCTGCATACAGAACTATTGTGGTACTGTGGGGATTGTTTGTTTTTAATTTTGTCTACAGCACATTTGTGTTTTCAGTTTCTGGATTGAGGTATGTTAATATTTGCGATCGCCAAGGCTTTCCATAGATTTGTCTTTGTTGGAGAAATACATGTGTATGGATTTTTTTTTTCCTTTATTGTTGGTAGTTGGTGCAAAAATATCACTGGGTTTATTTTTTCTCTGTCACGGGATCGGTTTAAATTATATATGTGGCTTAACAGTTACATTTAATAATAAGGGAACATGGGACAATTTTGGAGAAGTGAGGAAAGTGAAAAAAGGGGAACTAAAGTTATGGTAAATGGTCTCCTGTGACCAGAATGGAGCATGAATAGGGCAAATGTGAATGTTTAAAAAGCTTAGGTTGATATTTGCCCCCGTAAAGAATCTGTAAATATTCTTGACTGTAAACAACTGAGCTGATATAGTCATTTCTTAGTCTTCCTCTTCTTTTTGAAACAGCCATATATTTGACATTGTAGAGTTCAGGTTGATTCACACAACAACGTTGACTAAAACAGTATTAACTAGATCTGATGTAAGCGAGAGGAAAAACTGTGTTTTAAAGGTCTTGGTTGGTGCATTTGTCATTTTAGTTCTCTACTGTTTGACTTTGCAATATATCGTCGTGTGAACAGAGTCTTGTCGGTTGGATGGTGAAAAGATTTAACCTTTGTGTACACAATATAAAAAACGAAACTAAAACTAAAACCTGTTGCACAGGCATGACACATGTGCTATGGCTTGGTTATTCTGTAATAATCCCATTGGTGTGACATTAGGGCTGTGTACAAAACATCTCGATCTCTGTGTCTTCGTCTTGTCATCCACATGTCCCACATTGTTTTGTAAAGCTCAGGGAGATTAGCCGCCAATTTATTTTTTTTTGTTTTTTTGTATTTAGACCACTTTTCTCTGTATACAGAGGCTGTAAATAAACATTTGACTTTGCTATCAAACCTTGCAATGTGCAGTGATGTTTGAGTATATGGGTTTAAACAAGGTAAATAAAATTATGATGGCACAAAACGAAGTGAACCAAGAACGACAGTTTTCAGAAATTGTTACATTAGTTTAGTCAGTCCGGGAAATAATTTCTTAGTTTTCTAACTTGAGATGAATTCCTTCACTTTTGTTTGCTTTTTATGTATTTATTTATTTTAATTTTGATAGCTTCACTTTGTTTGGTTTCATTTTCCTACAGATAAAGCTTCACTCCCTTCCCTGCCCTTCACTTGTCTACACTAACTTCACCTGCAGTGGTTAAAGAAAAGAAAGAAAAAAAAAAAAGTTTACTTCCTGCCCAGCCGTGTGTGCATGTATCACATGTGAGCATACAGAAGCGAGAACAGGCCACATGCAACTTCCTTTCTTTGACTTGCAAACACACAGCACACTTTCCCTCCCTATATTACAACAAAAACAGAAAAGTGTTTGCAGAAACAGTTGAATGCATTAAGTCATTCACATTTAATATTGTAGTTACATAACCTATGTTAGTGTCAAAACTTGACATAGTCTTAAGTAACATACTTTTGGTGGTAAATTCGTGGTAATTTAAATATTTAAACATTAATAATAATGCTTTAGCACATACTATTGCTTTGGTAAGCAATAGTATGTGCTAAAGCTAAAGTGAGAGCTAAAATGAGATATATTTTAAAAATTAGTTAAATTATCGCACGGCCAAACATAAACAAAGGCTTGCCAATTTATACCACAAACCAAACTAAAAACCTATGTCAAGGATAGCTAGATATATCTAGCAGATATCAAATGAATCACTATAATTGAGCACAGAAACTGTTTCAACTAAAAAATATTCCAGATAAGATTAAAAGGTAAGCTAGCTAGAAGTTAGCCAACGAGTTATCCTACCAACATTTCAGGCGCATTTCACATGTAAAGACCTAAAATAATGCCAGTAGGCAGGATATGAGTCTCTACATTTACAGGATTATTAATCTAGAGGAGGAGGGTATAAAAGCCTGTGGAAGCAGCTCATTGCACTGTTCTCATAAACACTCGCCACAATGATGCAGGACCAATAAAATGTGGTTGAGTGGAGCAGTGCTAATGGGGATCTGGGGGACTTTGCAGGAATAAACAGAAAGCTTTTTGATCAGTTCTACCACTGGAAACATCTCAGGTGATTTGCAACTATGTTCCATGGCACTGACCCACGAGGTCAGGATTTCATTGCCAAGTGCTGGGAAAAGTACATCAGAGTGGCTGTGATATGAACACTGGGGAGAGAGAATAGGACCTGAGTCCTAAAAAGATTGGAGACACTTTCAGGGCCTTGCACTTCCTAGAAGGAGAACAATGAAGTGACATTCTCTCGTACTTCCGTCTTCCTGGAAAAATCCTGGAACATAAAGGGTTATTAATATCCCACCAGCTGATAAAGGTGGTCGGCAGCAGTGAGTGTGTCTGGCCTTTCAATGAATGT